AAAATTTAAACAAGAGAGATCCCAGTGAATTCAGTGGGCTTGCTCCTAAACAAGTATACTTTGGATTGTAGCCCAAATGCTCCTTTCAGAAAATCTATTTAATTTTAACTTTATCCTTTGTTTAATGAACAAGCACATTGTTATTTAAGCATTTTCCCTGATTTAGAAGCTGAAAATTTCAGTTGCAACCAAGAGAGCAGTTCTAACTCTTTTCATAGCTGAAAACAAAACTGAAATAATTTTACTCAGTTCCATTGAAATGCAGGCAAATACAGTAACACCTCATCATGGCATCGGTGTATTTCTGAGAAAGCCAAATCAACAACTCTCCACATGGTAACTGTGAAATGTACAATGCCTGCTATCGGGAACAATTTTCAAAAGTTGGCAGAAAAATCTGAACCTTATTTTCAAGGTTCTAATATAATATTCTGTGTGGATCTTGTTCCTGTTTTATTTTGTCACTAGAAAGCATCTGCAGTGCTGTATGCCTGTTAAAGCCAGAATAAAATTAATACATCTAAATTCCCTAATGCTATTATTTCCTGCCAGACAATTTGTTTTGATGGTCATGCATATGCTTTTATTTCTTCCACGGATGCTGTAACATTTCTGACACTTGGCAAAATTACCTAGAGCAGTGTGATGGCAGGCAGAGACTTAATATATAACTGTATCACTGGAAAAGCCTAATATATTTCTTCTACAGGTATGCACATAATCTACGGTTTCAGCTTATGCAATTGCCATTTTATTTAGAATTAATAAATAATATATCTGAAATGTCTTATGCATCCATGGAAAATAATATTTGAGACAATTATTATGGTTTCAAGAAGATGATTTGACGTCTTTCCCCTCACAACCAAAGCAGAATGCAGAAAATACAGATTATAGAGTGACAGATCAGTCACTCCATGCCTGGACCCAGCTTCACATTAATACTCTAGGTCATTGCCTGCAGTTCTTCTGAGTTACTCAAAATGCGACTTTCTCTAAAATCTACATGATATGGATGCACAGCGGAACCTATTCCTCAGTATAAAAGAGATGCTTAACTGTCTGATCATCACTGTTTTATGTAGAACGTTTTATTTCATCTAATCCAGCAAGACAAGTTAGGTTTGTTTAAAGCAGAATGAGAACTACTACAGAAGGCTAGCTCTAGTGAACCCCCCCCCCAACCCTAATCTTCTCCCCACTGGGCATCTAAGATGACACTGGGACTTCTCCAAGCTGTAAATTGCTCATTCTAACAAAATTCAGTTCTTAAAAAACACATCCAGTTTATGAATGTGAGATACTGTGTTGTGCTTCCATATCCATGATTTGAAATGCAAGAAAAGAGCACAATATTGCTGCACAATATCGTGCCCACACTGCTAGCAGGAAAAAGCAAAAAGCAAAAGCAAAGCGTGCTGCTTATATACCGCCCCATAGTGCTTCAAGCACTCTCTGGGCGGTTTACAATTTAATTATGCAGGCTACACATTGCCCCCCCAGCAAGCTGGCTACTCATTTTACCGACCTCGGAAGGATAGAAGGCTGAGTCAACCTTGAGCCGGCTACCTAGGATTTGAACCCCAGGTCGTGAGCACAGTTTTAGCTGCAGTACAGCGATTTAACCACTGCGCCACGAGGACGCCAAACTTTACATAGCAAATGGCGGCTATGGCCACAGTCAAGATGGTCTGTAGGACACTCTCTTGTGCTCTATACCATTCATAAAGGATAATTCCAGAAGCTGTCTCCTTTTTTCATCAGTTAACTATTTCTCACCTGAACACAAAGCAACTGTCAGGGTTGTTTTTGAACAAATGTGAATGGTAGTGAGCACTGACTATTTTTGTGACCTTTCATTGCCCTTCAAACATCTCCTTTCCTGGCCTACAAAGCTGCAACAATGTATCTCCTTTGGAACCCATTTGCTGTTAAGCCTGTTCCACCCATGCTCAGTCATTGTTTTTTTCCCTTTTGAAAGGCCTTTTTTGAGGATCAGTCTTTCAGCCCCCCCAGCCTGAATTATTTCCAATTTTTTTTAAAAAAAGGGGGGGTAACCATTCTCTTTCAAGATAAACAAGATTGGCCTTTTCAATTTTTATGAGCTACTTTAAATCAGGGGCATGTTTGCAGTCACCTATTTCTGTACTGAGAGATAAAACAGTTTTACTTTTTAAAAAACCACATCAAAAACCCTTTACCCAAACTTCCTCAAATGGGGCACAGAGCAGGACCAAACTGTCTGCTACAACCGTCCCAAATTAGGTGCTTATCTAAAACCCAGTTTCAAAGTTATAATTTTTTGTTCAGATTGCCCCCATTTAAAAAATTCCTTTGTAGCTGTTGGTTTGATGTCCTTCACAATAGGACAGCTGCATTACTACGCAGCTATAATGCACTACCATTCAGCTATAATATAGCCTAATTTCAGTTCCTGTCAAGAACCAAGAATCCCATCATATGCACATTTCCGTTTCAGCTCCAGACAAAAATAATCTCATATGCCATGAACTGAAATGTGCACAAGAAGGTTACAGAACCCTCAGCTCCAAAAAGAGCAGAGTGGATGAGTGGGTGATCTGTCATAACATGTTTAGAACAAAGCAATTAAAAGGAAGTAATTTCTCATTTTTCAAAGAATGAGGTGACACATCCCTATCTTTGAGACTGTACTACCCCAGGGATGTCTCTAGAAAAATAAAACAAAGACACACTGTCACCAAACATGACACCACACAATATGCAACAGAAGAGCAACAAGGTGAATGTTAAAGGCATAGTTGAAAACACAGCTGTATATGCATCTGTGGGAGAGATATGACATGTTGGTTTCCTTTTTAAGGGGGTGGCGGAGAAATGAACTGCAAAATAAAGACACATCATCATCACAAGGAAATATGAGAAAGCACAGAGATTAACAAATACAAGGTGGACAACAGGCAGTTGACCCTCAAGCTTCTTACTTTAGCAAAAGCGGAAAGCAGATGTGTCACAACAGAAGAAAAACCCTTTATAACCAGAAGGAGCCTTGTGTTTATAATCTCCTAAAGGGAAGACTCAGTAATCCGCCAGTTGGAAATGGTTTCCTTAGAGACAGTAGAACCTGCTGACTCTGAGCCAGAAGAAAGACGACGATGGTGAGATTTCTCATGCCTTGGCTCACTCCTAGAGAAATGTTTTGTCATAAAATTTGTGGAGATAGCCTTTGCTGGAATGGGTGAACAAGTGTGAAAGAAATAACATGAGCTCATAAGCCCGCTCTTTGGAATTACCCAAGGGATTGCTTTATTTTTATAGAACATGCAGGATAAGGATTCAGCTCTCTATAGCTTGGAGCATACTCACAATATTTCTGTACCTCACTGCTACTGCTTCTGTTACTGCAAGCTGAAATAATTTCTAGCAAGGGAAAGATTCTCAATTAATTTTTTTTAAAGGCAGGATTCCTCTCTCGTCTCATTCTAGACTTTGTCTTTTCTCACAAAAGGTGTCCTGGGTCAAAACGCAATTTTAAAAGCTTCCATTTGTAACAGTAAACACCATTCATGCTTCTGTTCCAGCATTACCTCACAGGTTAGAATAACAAACAGAAACCAGTGCTTTGTTCTGCCAGTAGGGTGGACAGGCTTCATTATCAATGGCTGTGGCCACATAAATCTTTCTTCTACATAAATGAAAGAATATTAACAATTCCTGTAAGTACTCAGATTTGATACAAAATTATGGTGATTGCAAAATCTGCCCATCATGGTTAACACTGGGAGGAGTGTTCTTTATCAACGGTATCCTGTTCGAGACAGGAATGCATTTCTATGCACATTATTTCTGCTCCCGTACCTCATAGGGATTGGGCTGTCATACAAGCTGACAAGCACTTAAGAGCTGTGTTGCCTATGCCAAAAAAGCAAATGAAAGAAAACTTGATTGCCATATTATAACTCTGATAAGGGTCTTGGAATGACTTTAAAAAAATCAGTTAAGAATGACGGGATCAGATTAGTAACTGTTTCAAACACTGCAGACATGTATGTACTGGGAACAGAGGTGGAGAGGGAAAGAAGGACGAACCTTCAAAGAGGCTTTCAAGGTGAGGATGAGGAACCTGCAGAATTTGGAAGAAGACAGGAAGTCAATATAGGGATTTACGGAAGTATCATGTTGTCAGATTGATAAGAGAGGTAAATACTGGTCAAGACTGAGGGAATAAGGTGAAAATGGAAGATGAGAATAGGGTTTTCGTTAAGCAGAGAAAAAGAAAGAGTGAAAGGAATCCGATGTAACAGCTGATATCACAGAATGAGACATTATGATGTGCTACGTCTTTGCAATCTCAAGCAACCACACAGCAACCACCATCAGAAGGAAAGTCACTCAACCACTTCTGAGTATTTAGACCTAGAAAGCCTTGAAAGGGTTGCTGTAAGAATGTTTAAGAACATGCAGAAGTTGGAGGGTTGACTCAGTAAGGTGGATGACAGTATGGAGGAATGCCCAGTGTCTCCTTTCTTTACTCATTTAGGAGCTAGTTGAAGTGGACATTTGAGAATCGAGATCCTCAGACCTCTGGCTGTTTCATCCCAGTATTATTTTACTACAGAGAAAAGAGCTTTCAGTGATATCTAGACATGATCACCAAAATGTTCATGTTCTCAATAGGTATTTATCAAGTGCCATCAACCATTCACAGATGGAACCCTCATCATGTCTTGCTTTGAGACGCCTCAGGACTGCATGATTAGTCATTGCAAAAGAGACAGTCAGACCCCTGGTCTAAACAAGCAAAAGAATTCTCATCTTCCTAATAAAGTCTCTTAAAATGTCTGTAAACAGAAGATGCAGAACAGTTAATTATGTTTCACCGTTAAATTTATTCTTTACTGCTTTTGGCACATGGAATAGTCAGGTTAGGCAGTATTTGAAAAGCCAGCAGAAGTCCATGCCTTAAGAAGTCACATGTAGATTTCGCATACAGTCACTTATAAAAAGTCATGGATTCTTACGTTTAAAAGTACGACATTTCTTTTATGAGCTGCAGCAGCTTCTTGCATTTGCCATGCCTTCTCAGCTTCTTTGTCTTCTAGATGACTCTCCATCTGCTGAAGCAACACTGATCTCTGAGATAGGCTACAAAAGGGAAACATTCTGTTAAGTGGGCACACCGTTCTTTCTGCACAACAGCAAGAGAAACAACAACCTTTTACCCTCACCCAATTTTCCACTAATTATACTGAATACAGCGTGGGTGCGCTGAAGGAGGAGAACAGCACAGGAAGTCCCTTCCTTGCAGTGCATGCATGGAGAAAGCAATCTTCGTATTGTACAACAAGTTGTCTCTGTGCACAAATGAGACACCCAGCAAAGAACATCTTTGAATGAGAAATGACTATGAAGTGCAGAGTTTGCAAACTCCAGTACTTATTACTAAATGGATTCACCAGGTCCTGTGCTTCTGTGTGCAGTTCTGTGAAAAAAAGGCAATGCCACATTCAGAAGGAAGGCTTCTGGGTTTTTAACTTGGGCTTCACATAGCTGTTCAACAAGGTTTGTGCACTTTATAGTGTCTTCCCCCCTTCTTCCTTGCAGTAAAGATTGCCTACACATAGTCAGATGCTTTTGTTTCTGCCAGAATTGTTCTTATAACATCTTTCCTGGGTTTTACATAGTCTGCCTAAAGTTCTGCTCACTTTTCCAGTGGCACCACAAGGTTCCTTCCAGATACTGTTATTTTGAAACTTGTCACTCCTTATAAATTTATAATTCCTTATGGAAGATGGATGAGGATATCTTAAAGTTAAAGTAGTTTTAATGTTTACTTGCTTTTTAATTATTCAACTGTATTTTAATTAGCATATATTTTAATTGTTTTTTAATGTTTAACTTTTTATGTTTATAATTCTATTATTTTTAATATTGTGAGCCGCCTTAGGTCCTCTTATTGGGAGAAAGGCGACCTATAAAACAAACAAACAAACGAATAAGTAAATAATTCTGCATTCGTGGGAGATCATTACCCAAAGGAAAATCTGCAGTGGGAAATCTGATGATCAGAAATATACAGAAATGGATTTGAGACTCCACCTGTCATGATGACTTGAGGGCATCCTGATCTGTCAAGGTCGGTTGGTGGATACAGTGACTTGGTGCCTGTGGTACATGTTGGTACCAGCAGTATTGAGAAACACTGTGATGAGGCCTTAGAAGTGAGATTAAATGTCTAAGGCCTTCAAGGACAAAATGGCATAAAGTATGTTGAGGTTGGAAAACAGGGTTTAGATGTTTTTAAATTACTTGTGTTTTGTTAAAGTTTTTGAGACAAGTTTCACTTGAGAGGTGGGGAGACAGGTCCCTAATTGAGTCAAAAGAGAACTAGACCTCTCATGGTCAAGATAAAAAAGGTGGATTTTAAACAGTCTTGTGGGATAATGCTAATAAAATCTGCAATGCATCTGTTCTGGGACAGTTCATATATTTAAGATGAAGGTGCAGAAGATACAGAGTTTTAAAGTGGTGATAAAACAGATCTTGACTACAAGCATTCAGAGACAATTGATAGCTACTTAAAATGGCTACAAAAATGGCAAGAGTCCAATAAACCAGAACATGTAAAAGGAACAGCCTCCTCAAAATCAGAAAGAGGTGGAAATGCTGGACAACAAAATTAGTTCAGTGCTGGGGACATAGTTTTTCATGATGATCAAAACCCCAAGGGTGATCTTCATGGGAGCAACAGAACCAGGGACAAAATGTTGTAGCAAGGCATGACCTCAGTTCTCCTCATATTGCTTGGATAAATGGATGTTTGAATTAAAAAGAAAACTTCTAGATAAGATAATTGACAGTGATTGGAACAGTTGTCATTCAGCCAGCTGGGAGGAACCAATTGTGTTTTTTTAAAACATCCTGAGCAGTGCCCAAGACCTACTGCAAAAAGTATTTGGACAATGACATAACACAAATTCCACATGTATCCAAGTAGAAAATTGATAAAATTAATGAGAGAAAAAAATGATAAAGAGAAAATTTGATAAACAAACAAAACATTGTGGTACCTCCGAGGCTAATAAATTGTTCCAGTGCAAGTGTTCATGGATATAAATATGCTTCCTCAGATGCAAAGTAGGTTTCGATCCACAAATTAAATTTTGTTTGTAGTCATGCCGAGACAGACAAAAACATCTTTGAAAAATATAGAAAAATAGAAAATTGACCAGCATGCTATACTATATACTCTATAGTAGCCAATTTCAAGCTTTTTTGGCCATAGCCATAAACACAATATGAAAGAAACAAAGAATAATTTCCTTAGAAAGGAAAAGTTATGAAAATAATAAAAGTAAGGAGTACAGATGCCAGCAAATAAGATGTAAGGTGAACAATAGGTGAAAAGACAAATTTGAGAAACATATTGCTAAGATCATTTTTATATAATGAAAATAATTTAAATCGACCAGAAACAGAAGGCAGATGATTTATTATGAATATAGAAAGATTACTGTAGGAAGACACAGAGACAGTAGGAAGGCACTGTCAAACTCTTGCATCAATTTTCCCTGTAGAAGTTACTGGATGCACAAACACATCCAAACCAGTTTTGGGGGTGGGTTGTGGTATGTGAAAGTAATGTTTCTGAAGAATTACATTCAATAAGCAATAACAAGAGACAAGGTTCTATGGGCATCTCAAAAGTTAGGCAGTGGCAAATCACCATCTCCATTCACTTAGGACTTCTTTAAAAGCTTATATATGCTCATGGTTTGATGCAGCTATGAGATCTCAATAAAAAAGAGCTTTCAATGATTAAAAGGCAGGGAACATAATTTCTTGGTTGGAGGGGGGGGGGAAAGGAAGCCATGCAGTTAAACAATAATTCCAGCTCCCCAGGGCTGTGTGCTAAGTCCCTTCCTCTATTCCCTGTACACACATGATTGCACCCCTCTGTATAACGCCAACACAATTATTAAATTTGCGGATGATACGACAGTGGTGGGGCTCATAAATAAGAACAATGAGTCTGCTTATAGAAAGGAAGTACAAGGGTTGATACTTTGGTGTAAAGAAAATCATCTCACACTTAACATCAAAAAAACTAAAGAACTCATAATTGATTTCAGGAGGAAGATAAATGTACATTTACCACTGTTCATAAATGGCGAGGAAGTGGAGTTTGTAGTTTTAAATTTCTGGGCTCTAACATCTCAGAGGACCTCTCATGGAATATAAATGCCAACATGCTAGTGAAGAAGGCACAGAAGAGGCTGTATTTCCTGAGAATTCTCGGCAAGTTAAATTTATCTCAGCACTTCCTTCTGTCATACTATCGTAGCACCATTGAGAGTGTCCTAACCTATGGCATTCTGGCATGGTTTGGGAGTAGCTCTGCAGCGGACAAAAAAGCTCTACAGAGAACCATTAAAATTGCCCAGAATATCATCGGGCTCCAGCGACCAACCCTGGATGACATCTTCACATCACGTTGTCTGAGGAAGTCCCACAGCATCCTGAGAGACTCTTCCCATCCTGCTTATAACTTTTTTAAACTGTTGCCGTCTGGCAGAAGATATAGAACAATTAAGACTCGGACCACACGTTTTCTGAATAGTTTTTATCCCAGAGCTATAATTGCACTTAATAATGAGCTTAAAGACCACCAGTAGTGAATAGTTAGTTGGACTGTGTTACTTGGCCTGTGGTGTAGATCAGTGGTTCTTAACCTTTGTTACTCGGATGCTTTTGAACTGCAACTCCCAAAAACCCCAGTCAGGACAGCTGGTGGTGAAGGCTTCTGGGAGTTGCAGTCCAAAACTCCTGAGTAACCCAAGGTTAAGAACCAGTGGTGTAGATGTTTGTATTTTTAGTGGGGACTTTTAGTGGGTGGGAAGTGTTGGGAGATTTTTTAGTGGGTGGAGAGTGTTTGGGGGATTTTATGTGTGCATGTGTCTGGTCTCTGGGTGTCTGTGAATTTCATTGTATGGGTATACTGTGTATATACTTACAATGACAATCAATCAATCAATCAATCAATCACATTTACTTCTTGTTTTATGCCCACAACAATTTTTATTGCTCTTGTTGTACTTTACAAGATCTGATACTTCCTCTTCAAGAATAAACTATCAGAAATGTGCATAGATTTTTCACAGATTTCTCTGCTAAACACATGACAATTTTGGTACTATTTTTACCCTTTCTGAAATATTAATAGTCTCTCTGCCTTTTCAGCCACTGAAACACACACAAGGAGGCAGAATGTTTTCAGTGTTAAATCTGTTGGAGTTCCTTGTGCAGCAGAAACAGCACTTACGCTACATGAAGAGAGGGCACGTTATTAAAGGCAGAAGGATTTAAACATATAGAAGGACAAGTCTTGCTGAGAAGGATCAGCATGGTTTCCAACAAAGAGAACCACTACCATTCTGAAGTTCTTTCAGAGTGTTAGCAAACTTGTGAATAAGGGTGATCCAGCAAACATCATGTAATAAATTCCAAAGAGCTACTGACAATATTCCTCAACACAAACTCCTCAGCAAACTTACCAATCATGTGGTAAGAAAACAGGCTTTCTCATGGATGAGAACCTTGCTTTAAAAACAGGGAGCCAACGGTAGGAATAAACATGCAGTTGTCTCAGTGGAAAGGAAAGCAGAAGTGAGTTTTTCTAGAGCTCATAATGGGAGACATTTAGCTTCTTAAAAGATTATGCAACATTGTGAAGAACAGTGAGGTGGCTAAATTAACGGACAACATCAAATTATTCAGGTAAGATTAACTTTTCAAATTGAGAAGCAGTAATATGGACACAGGGGTTTAGCCTAAGTAGGTATAATGTGAAGTACACTGGTAATGAAAGTTATTACCACATACACATTGATGTACAGTAAGTTGGAACTGATGTTGACTATTCAAGGCAGGAAACTTGGGATTGTGGCAGATGGCTCAGTGAAACTATCAATGGCATGTGGTAGCTAAGAAATGCCAGCTAGAACTCCTCAGAAACAGAAAATAAAACTGGCAGTATCAAATTCCTTTTACAGCAATTTCCAAATAAGTAGCTATATTAATCTGTTTCAGCATGTTAGCAAAATTAAAAGTGAGGGGAGGGGAAAAGGACCAAATATTATACTGTATTAAAGACTAACACATTTGTTTAAGTGGGAACTTCCATGGATCAAAATTCACTTTTTCAGACTTTAATCTACGAAAGTGTCTACAGTAAAAATGTTTCTGTCTTCCTGGTCTTTAGTTTACAGTAAGCTTTCTTTGCTCCTAGTCTACCAAACTGTAGAACAAACATTTTTTCCTACAACACACAATTCATTTATAGAATTTACTGCTACAAGATAACACTAATGGTAATTAGCAGGGTTGGCTGTAAAAGGAGATTTGACAAATGCACACAAGATGGATCTGTCCACTTCCTGGAACCTAATACCAGCTTGCTATAACACACGGAGGACTAGGAATGGCCTGGATATTAGAAACCACTCACTGTCATTGTGCAAGTCAAGAGGAAGAACAATATAAGCTTCTGCTGTGATCCAGCAGACGTTTTCTGATGCTTTTAGAAGCATCCTTTCTTCTGAAGATTTCTTGAATAAATTTTAGAATCCCCTAAAGATTACAATTTTACAATTCCCTCTGGAATGAAAAAAAAAAGATATAAAATACTGCTAAGTAATGCTATTAGCTTTCCAGTATTAGCAATCTAGATATATTCTAAATGTTGGTTCTGATTTGCGGAAATGCACTGGGGTGAGACTTCAGACTGAATTTAGAAAGGCAGCATCCAAAGGTCCAGATGTAGTTGTAATTTCACTTAGCCTTTCATCTGAAAAGCAGCACTGGCAATAGAGTTCCCTCTAGAGTCTTTAAAAGGAACAGCTTCCTTTTTAGAATTTCTACAAAATTCAGCAGAACAAAGATGCTCCTTTTCAAAACGGGTTTCTTTTCCTGGATTGTCAAAATAGTTATGTAATTCTTCAATGCAGAAAAATAGCTAACTAGTTTTTAGTGACTAAAACAAGGCCTATAAAGACGCCAGTAAAAATATTTGGATTTCTTAGCAATGATGTTGATACTCCTATTTTTCTAATGTCCAGAGGCAGGGCATCTTCTGAAACAAGCACTTACATTTCATCATGTCTTTTAGCAAGCTGAACTTCTCTTGCTAAATAGGATGCCATCCCTGGTCACATGATAAACGCCCCAGGTTTATCAACCTATTAAGAAGAAGAAAAAAACAGAATGAGACAAGCAAGTAGTGTTTCTTTAAAGAAATACAAAGGCACTGCCTGGAAATATTGCAGATAGTGCTATAAGTATAATCAATATTGAATTAGTGGTTTAAAAAGTAAAACCTGATATATTACCAGCATTATAATATCATTGTTTGAAAACATTCCTTATTTGGACTGGTGAATTCTGAGTGATATACACACAAAAGCTAATGTCTCCAAGCTCTGTGTAATGCTGTTCAACAATATTGTATCCATAAGACAATATACATGCTGATGGAATGTTTGCAAAAGATATCCTACTGAACAAACTTTGTAAATTATGGGGTTTAGGCCTGACTGAACCTGTTCCTGCTGCTATCATTATTAGAGATGGGGGTATTTAGAGATGGGGGTATTCATATATAAGTACAGTGGTGCCTCAGCTTATGACCATAATCCATTCCAGAAGATGGACATAACTTGAAATGGTCGTAAGTCAAAGCACCATTTCCCATAGAAATGCAATTAATCCGTTCTGGTTGAAGAAAAAAATCACTGCAAGACTCACTGGAAACATAATTAACCACTTCCGGTCGGGGGGGGGGGAGAAAAGCAATCAAGGGTGAAAGACCCATTGGGAATGCACAGAAAACAAATAGAGCAGATCGGAAATGCACAGAGAACAAAGGGGGCAGGTTGGAAATGCAAGGAAAAAAGCAAGGGAAGCATGCAGGACCCATAGGAAATGGGGAACCCCTCAAAAAAGCAACCAAACCCCCAAGACCCATCTGAAATGGGGGGAAAAAACAAAAAACTAACCCCAAAGACGCATTGGAAATGGGAAAAAACACTCCAAAAAGCAACAAAAACCCCCAAGACCCATCGGAAATGGGGGGGGAGACCCAAAAAACAAACAAACCGCTAAGACCCATCACAGTCAGAAACATAATCCCCCAGCCCAAAACCATGCTGCAAAAACACCCAGGACAGTTTTTAAAAAGCAGAAAACAGCACCTTACCTTACTAGGGAGCCTGAAGCCTCCCTGCAAACACACACACACACACACTCTCAGAAGCAGAAGCGAGGCAGTCCCAAGCCTCCTCCGATTGCAAACTCTCTAACTGCTGGGGCAAAAGAGCTACAAAAAAGCAGCCTCATCACCACCTAGTTAGAAATTTGGATTTCCTGCCTTTTCCCCCTGCTTTTTTCTGTTCGTAAATGGAAGCTCCGGTCGCACGTAGAAGCAACATTTTGCGGCTGGAGCTGGTCGTAACTCAAAATCGTCGTAAGTAGGGACATTTGTAAGTCGAGGCATCACTGTACAAATATCCCACACATTTAGTAATAACGAGAGTGATCCACCATTGCTGCTGTGATTCTTCCAATGGCTTTGCAGATCACAAATGGCTAGCTACTCCTGGTGAGAGGCTGGAGGATAAGCCTCGCTGCAAGGTTGAAGACTGGTTCGCAGATCGCTGGACAGTCCACTCACCAATCCACTGCTGCCTCGGATGCCACAATTCTTCCAATGGCTCTGTAGATCGCGATCTGACAAGAGTCTGTTATTGCCACCTGTGCAGAGATATTCATATACAAATACCCCTGTCTCTAATTACCACCGATGACATTACCCAACAATGGTTACAACAATAAACACACACAATATAATCAATAGTTCCTTTTTCAAAAACTGAAACATGAATAAATAACTTAGTAAACAAAATAAATTATGAAGTAAACTAAATAAATAAAATATGTAAATTCATATTTAATTTTAAAAAATTGAGTACTCATAATGTTAAGGTGTTTCAAGGCAACTCAGAAAATCAGTAAGTTTAGAATATTACGTTTTGAGTTCAAGAAGCACATATCCAAATTGATATTTCTGTTTTACAAAGCTATGTCCAGAGTTGAAAGGGGGTGCTTCTGAGAAGCAGCTGATAGGCCATTGCCAGAAATAGGGAATAGGCTCCAGATAAGCTTCCGCTCCACTGCATAGTGGACTAGGCCCTTGGGTGGGTTCATTTGGTTTATAAAGACCCAATGATTCAAGACTTAAATATACAATAAAATTTAAGATACAATCATCATAAGGAAACCACACACATCCAAACAAGTATTGGACAGAAGGAAGAACATGGTGACCCACTTGTCAATTTCTCGACCATCTACTGCTCACTGGTTGCTGGGATTTTGCAGAGGGGCAGGAAATGCTGATTTAGATGGATCTTGGTCTACTCGAAGAAGTTGCCTCTGTTCCTATGCGATGCCACACACTCAGGATCACCTAACAAATATTAGTTATAGCTTCACTATTAATGCCACTTGTCTGATAAACTTAAAACAGATTGACCAAAACCACGTTATGCCCACAGGCATAATGCAATTGCCATTAATGTCAATGTTACAATCTTGCTGACATTAAACTGATCCATGTTTAGCCAGCACCTGAATGGGAGGACATCTGGGAATCATCCAATTACTCCAGCTGGTTAAAATAACCACCCTTTTAAGATCTGGATGGTAGCAAAGTCTCCGGAATATTCTTGTCTTTGAGGGATGTTGTAGCAACTGGTTAAAATAACCACCCTTTTAAAATCTGGATGGAATATTCTTGTCTTTGAGGGATGTTGTATTAAACATGTTAATAGTTTAAACTGCTAGCGGTATAAATCTCTGAATTTACAGGTCCCACCCTTCAGAGGTTAATAATTGGATTAGGTGAGGGTAAGGCTGCTTGTGAACAGCAAACAAAAAATTAAAGAGGAAAAGGAAAAAAAGAGAGGAGAAATGGCAAAATATTCTGGCACTTTAACAATTAAAATATTTATTTCATCCCAGGCTGCTGGCTATCCTGGGATGCACAGTGAGGAATCGAGCCCCCAACCTCAGGTTCCATAGCCAGATACCTAATTCACTGAGCTATCCAGACAGACAATATTGATAGATAATAGCAGGAAAAACACCAGTCTTGGTAGCAAACACTGGCACCTGACATTCTCATTCCTATAGTGCCTCTAGGGCAGTGGCTCCTTAACCTTGGGTAACCTCTGTGGTTTTGGACTGCAATTCTCAGAAGCCTTCGTGTCCAGCTGGGTTGACTGGGGTTTTCCCATGCAAATGGTCACTGCGTGAGGAAACCCCAACTCCGTTGGAGCTCAAGAGAATGGAAGTGAATTCAAGTGGCAGCTCAGCTTTCCAGTTAAACCAGGTTTCTTCCCTCTTGCACAGCTCTGGCCTACCTGCTAAGCATTTAATTTTCCTTTCTTTTATTTTCATTTCCTAATGTTTCTGGGCTTGGGGTACCTCTCCACAAGTTGTCTGCCCCTGAACTAGCATGAGCACCGGGGCTCTGCACGCTGTGAAGGGCTTGAGTTGATGATACACCTTGTCTGGAGAGCCCCTGCATGCAATCAGACGGCTGGGGATACCAGGACCCATGAGGGCAATGCAGCACCCAGCTAATATTTTCACACACCATGGATCCACTGGGGCTTATTTTGGGACCCAGAACTCCTTGTACCCAGTAGACCTTCAGACCAGATAATAAATCTGTTCCTGGCTTCTCAGTTGAGATGTGAAACATCTAGCCCTCCAGATGTGTGAATCACAGCTCCTTTAATCCCTTCTTTGACCAGGCTGGCTAAATCTGCTGGGACTAATGACCCAACTACCTGCACAGTGTATTCTCGAAGGCTTTCACGGCCGGGATCTGCCAGTTGTGGGTTTTTCGGGCTCTTTGGCCGTGTTCTGGAGGTTGTTCTTCTTGACGTTTCTCCAGTCTCTGTGGCCATGGGCATCTTCAGAGGAACAAGAATAGGAACTCGGTCCATGGACAAAGTTCCTACTCCTGTTCCTCTGAAGATGCCCATGGCCACAGAGACTGGCGAAACGTCAAGAACAACCTTCAGAACAAGGCCAAGGAGCCCGAAAAACCCGCAACAACAATCGGCACAGCCTTGCACTTTTGCAGAACTTGTAAAAGTTATTATTTTCGGCTTTAACTCAGAATCTCCTAGTCAGTGACGTCTGGAATGCATTACAGTGGACGTTAAAGGAGCACCTATGGATCGAAACAAATAAGTTAGGACCGTGTTTTGGACTACAAGAACGGGAATATTCCCAATTTCGAAAAGGGGGGGGGAGAGAGAGAGAGACAACGCGCGTTTTTTGTCCCCTTTCCTACTTTGCTCCAACCCCCCTATCCCTCTCCCTCCCCCGCCCGTCGTCCATCGGGGAATCCTCCCCTCTGAGGTGAATTCTCTCTCCCTCCTCCCTTTCCAGCACTGAGCGTGGAATGTACCAAACTCCCGCCCAACGAAAGTGAAGAAGGACCAACCACCTCCGAAACTGCGGGGGGGGGGAGGAGATCAAGGAGAGGGGCACGTGCAAAAGGAGTTAAAAGTGGCAGGTGGGCGATACCAAGTGAAGAAAACAGAGGTCCCCTCGAGCAAAAGAGAGCAGAAAGGACCGTACCACTCTGGGATAAGGGTGTCAGGAAGAACGTGAGCAGCCTGATTAATAGAAGTTCTGGCTTGATAGTACCTCCTCAGCGACCGTGTCATCAGGACCAACCTCTTTTTTTAAAAAAACCTCTCTGCTTCCTCCTCTGTTAACTTAAATCGAACACTTACGTTCCGCCGTTACTTGTAATCGCGTTACTTGCGGGAGGGGCGAGGGGGAAAGAGGATGACGGTTGAAGACTGTTGATTGGTCTGCCTATCCGGACGGGGGTATGGCTATACTACCGTATGTTCTTCCCGCCTCGCCTCTCGCTCGCTTGACGATTCGCGCATGCTCGGTTGTAGCCGCCGACGTAACGTTCGGTGGTGGAGATGTCGCCCGAAACGGGGAAAGATAACGGTGGTTGCTGAGGTGGAGGAGTGCGTTGTCGGGTGCATTTGGTCGTGTGAACACGTCTTTCTGTTCTATGAGGCATCTTAAGCTTGCTAATGAGGAGAAAAGATAATATTTTTAAAATATATTTTATGTATAGAGAGGAACATGTGCCTTTATGGCGCTTAGGCACGACTCATGATAATTAAACCACTTGAAACCTATAACATCCCCCCAAGGAAACAGTCAGTATACAGTATATGACAATGCTCTGTTGCCTCCCTTTTCTCTGTTATTTTAATGGGACTCTTAAGTGTGTGTTTTTTCCCCTGAAGTTTTGCTCAGGTAGAAATGGCTCGGAGGTATGACAAGTTGCAATAGGGAAGTTTTGTTTTTTTTTAATTGAGGACGTTCGTGCCTTCTTTGTCGCCCGTCCCTTCACTCCCCAGCTTGTATGGTCGTTGAGTTTTTCAATTTGTGATTCATTAAAAGAAGGCTTGAGTTTGCAAGAGCAAAGTAAGGCTGTTAACAGGATGTTTGGGAGGTCATTGTTTCATAGGGTCGCTGTAACTCAGAAGAAAGTTGATAGCAACCAGATAGTTGATAGATAACCAGATAGCAACCAGAGTGGTCCTCACCGACCAGATAGGCGGGGTATAAATTAAATAAATAAATAAATAAATAAATAACCACAGCTGCAAACCTTGAGATTACCCTGCCTAAGGAGATACTTACAGTTAGGGTTGCCAGATACACGGGTACTAAAAGGAGGACATAGAAAGACAAAAAGGAGGACAAAGGAGGACATACTGAATGTCTCATTTGAATCATTCCAGATTAAACACACAATCAATACAATTTTATTACAATAGCTGCCAATAAATGTCTCTTAGTGAACTGACCAAGAAACAGTCATGTTAAAAATTAAAAATAAATTCAGTGGAGGCTTTTTTCCAAAATACCAGGGGTGGGCCGGCAGGTGGGGGCGGGGAAAGCCAGGGGGAAGGGTGTCCTTCTGCCTCTCCCCCTCCCATCCAAAATTATAACATAAAATATACAAAAGCCTGACATTTTAAAGGTTTTTATCTTTGCCTGCCTGACGGAGGACATAAGGCTAAAAAGTAGGATATGTCCTCCTTTTGCCTGACATCTGGCAACCCTACTTACAGTACAATACTTGTTTCTTGTACAACAGGCTCTTGGAGAATTAAGAGTCTTTGATATTGGCAGTTGGATCCTGTGTTTAGATTGCAGGTTCAGTATGCAAGTGCTCCTGTTCAACATCCTCCACTCCATATTTTTTTGGGGGGAAAAGGTGCCTTTTTAAAAAATATCATATGTGCAACATTTAGATAGCATGCCATGAACACCCAATATTCCGCGTAAGCTGTTTTCTGAGATTTCCCTTGGGCTTTTTTCTTCCCTGGAATGTGTATGTCCTTCTGGAAGCTCAGCAGTAAGATCACTCTTAATTGATGGCGAGTGTAAGATGCCACATAAGTTGCCAGGGGGAAAAAAGCATACAAGGAGCAAACATGTTTTTAAACGCCAACTTAAGACCTGGTTCTTTAGGCAGGCTTTCCCTCCTGTCAACACTTTATTATTATTATTTCCCTTTCCCCATCTTGAACTATATTATTACTGTTGCTTTTTATTTTATTATACTGTTTTTATTCTATTTTTATTGTTAGCCACCCAGAGTAGACATGTGTCTACATGGGCGGGGTATAAATTTAATAAATAAATAAATGTGCCTCAGTTCATGTCTAGTCTTGGGAATCTGTCCAGCTAAGGCAGAATGTGACTTCTGGCAAAATGTGTCTTATCCTACTATGCTTATTGAAGTTTGGAGACCAGGAAGGGATCCATAATATAAATGTCAACCAGATGCTGTTAATAATGACAATACAGATTATCATTAATATGCAGTATGTGCAATATTGTCATGGAAATATGTTTAAAATGCTTTTTTTATGAATTTCACTCAAAGATGCACTCTTTTATGAGTAATCATGTCATTCCCTCTTAATTTTCCTTTACTGTTGTTTAAATTTGTTGTTAATCACCAGTGCAAGTGCTTAGCTTTGCAGAGATTGAAATATCCTTTATTTTGTTAACCCATAGACTTCAAGAAAACTATGCAGGTGTTAGTTCAACATATTGGCCAGAATCCTATCAATTTGTATAAAGTTGGTGTAACATGCTGTGCCTAATTGATAAGGCACTGGAGTGTATCTTAGTTGTTTGTCTGGTCAAATATTCAATTGCACAAATGAGATGCTACCTGGTGCCTTGTCAGATACCAGCAATTAGTCACTTTTTGTCATGTAAACCTTATGAAAGCAATAATAGAATTCTGGATATTATATGTGGCCCCTCTGACTGAAGCCATGATGCTTGTTCCTATGGTTTCTCACCCACAGATGTCATGGTGCCTAGTTAACACCTGAAGATAAAGAGCTCTGCCCACTGCATGCCTGTGAGGTTTGCAAGACTGTTGTGTAGTCAGTTTTGCAACTGGTGTTCAACCAGTTGGGTGATAGATACTGTGCATGAGTACTGTTGGGTGCATTTTTTAAAACAGGATTTTGGCCAAATAACCGTTCGTTCGTTCATTCATTCGTTCATTCGATTTTTGTACCGCCACTCTGGGCAGTTTACAATTCCATCATTGTAAAACAGCAGTACAAAGAATATCCAATTAACAACTGAAAACAAATTGCAACAGTAATGAAATAAAATAATTAAAATAATAAAAGGCATGACGGAGGGTTGAAGGTGTAGTTGTTGAAAGCACCACTGTATTAAGGTGTATAAGATAACATGTATACTGTTGAGAGATAGAGTTTTCTTAAATCATAAGTGGTGCAAGATATGGTTGTCCTGGGATTGTATGATGAAGAAAGGCTCACTGTGACCTTTGCCACCAATCAAGGGATTGGATTGGTGCAGAATCATGGAATGGTGACTAAAATAATGATGATGGCAGAATACATGGAGAGAATCAAGCTGAACAGAGAATAGAGGTCATTAGGAAGGCTATTCTATGATGACAACAGTGGCTAATCTATTCTGATGGCATTGGTGAAATTCTTTTTATTATTATTATTGCTTACCTTGAGTGGGACTTCTTTGTGGTGACTCCAGACTTTCCTAGAGAACCAGGCTCAGAAGGCAGTGCTGGGAGACTCCTGTTTGACAGCAAAGCTGTTGACCTTTGGAGTTTCAGAGAGTTCCTTTTCCTCTCCCATACAATTTACATGAAACATTGGGAGAGGTTGTTTGGAGTCTAGGGGTTTAGTATCTAATTTTATTTATCCTTTTCCTCTAATTCTAAAGAAACCTGTTTCTGTTCTGAACTGTTATCTGATGTCAGTAAAGCACTGGGCAAGGAAATAGAAGCATAATCTAGACAAGATAGAGAAGCTCCTGGTTAGCTGAAAGACAGATCAGGGAATAGGGAGTCCGCCTGACATAGATTGAGTTACACTTCCTCTGAAAGGTTTGGAGAGTAGGTTAGCCACCTTCTTGTTACCCTGCTAGCAGGTTTTTTCTTTTCTGCTTAGGAAGGCTTTTAGTAGCTGAATTGGACAACTGAGAAGAGGTTTTTAAATTGTGGAATGTTGTATTGCTCATATGTACAGTATATATATTCTGTTTTTAAAAATATTTTTACATTTTTGGTTGGTTTACATGTTTGGTTGGCTTTTAATGCAGTGTTTTATGTATATTTGTTTGTAATCACTTGTGATCATTATTGGACTCCCTACACTGGGAGAAAGGAGGCTCATATAGAAAATAATTTAAGTGACAATAAATAAAACCTTTTAAGGTTCCAACCAGGGAGATAAGCGGAAACTGTTTGTGCTCTTTTCCCAGTTCCAACATTTGGAGGAAGCCTGGACTTTATTCTGTTCTTTCAGGTAGCTCAGCAGACCCAGTAAACAGAAGAACCACTCCACTGCTTAATGTGTGAGAGCTTAGGAGGCTGTAATATAAGGTACAGACTATTGAAGTAATAACAGTTTTCAGAGAGTGAAGTGTAAATAACTGCTCCATTATTCAGTTCCATAACTCGAAAATCAGAAAAAAATTCTACTCACTATAACTTGCAATTTATTTTATGTGTGTCACATTGTATGTTACATCCAGTATCAGATAAGTACCGTAAGCTACTACAGTGGGGTCTTGACTTGAGAACTCAATCCGTATTGGAAGGCGGTTCTCAAGTCAAAAAGTCTGTAAGTCAAGTCTCCATTGACCTACAGTGCATTGAAAACCAATTAATCCCGTAACAGGCCGTTTTTGTTCCATTTTGGTTTTTTTCTGGTCTGTAAGTCAAATCTCAGTCTGCAAGTCAAACCTAAATTTTGCGGCCAGAGAAGTCTGTAACTCAAAAAGTCTGTAAGTCAAGCCGTCTGTAAGTCAAGGGTCCACTGTATTAGCATGACAGACATTCCTTTTACCAATGTATTGCAAAACTTCTCTCAACACTGTGAAGCAGATGTTAGGCATTGCAGGTAAGACGGGGAATCTGTTCTATTGTATCACTAAATATAAACCTGTTTTACATTATCTACGCAGCCAGGTCTGGTGCTTAAAACAGCCCAAATCCTGTTGTTTAGCATAGTAAATTACACTATAGTGTAATTTACTATAGGCTCATTGAATCAGTGAGGATTTGGTGAGACAATTCCTTAAGTGCAGTAGATTCAACTGCCGTACTCCAATTGTGACTTACCTTAGTGTAATAAGTTGCAGTTAGAGTAGGCCCATTTGAATCAATGGAACTTATGGAGGAATTGAATCACTAAATCCCCATTGATTCAGTGGGCCTGCTCTAGTGCAATTTACTACACTGAGCAACAGGATTTTGACCATTGTCTCATAATTTTTTTTCTTTTTCCCAGTTCACATTCTGAGCT